CGCCGCCAGCCCCTCCTGCGAGCGCTGCAAAACTGCAGCGGCTTTTCCCCGGCCCCGGAGCGGGGAAAGAGCCACCCGAGTCCCCGCTGCAGGACCCCCTCAGCCCCGGCTGCCCCGGGAGGAGGCAGCCGGAGACCCCCGCCCGGGGCTGCGCGGCCCCGGGGTCCCCCTCACCGGTATCCCGGCTCCGTGGATACACTCCGGCTTGCGGAATAACGGATCGTTGTAGATGAAACCCGGGTGGCTGCAGGCTCGCAGGGTGCCCCTGCTCCCCCGGGGCCGGGGGTACGGCCCTTTCGGGCTCTACACCAGCTCCCTGTGGCTTCACTGGGGCGCGGGGTGGACTCAGATGATAAAAAACGCTTTTTTGGAGATGCCCGAGGAAGCGGTGTGCAGGGCCACATACCTTTCCTACCCCCTTCCTGCCCTGCTCAGACCCACCTCTGGCTCGTTCGGCATCCCCTCCGCACAAGCAAGGCCTGCTCTGACAGCTTTCTCCTCCACTGGGACCACAGGAGACTTTCCCACACTCGAACCTCACCTGGGGCTCCTCCGTCTCCGGTTCCCACTGCGGATTTGCCCCACAGCAGTAGGAGACACCCAGTCCATGCATTTCACCCAGCCAGAGCCGACCACGCAGCCCTGAGCCATAAGAGCTCAGGCAGCTCTGGAATAAAAAAAAAAAAAAGAAAAAAAAAAAAAGAAGGAAACTGGTTTCTGCTAGTTAAAGGTGACAAAAAAGAAAATTGGGATTGCCCTCTGGAGTGTTTTTGGTTTAGGAATGAAGAAGGGCTGTGGGGATATTGTTAGGACGACGCAGTAGCGAGGGATTTCACCGTCATAAAGGATAACACAGGTCATCCAAAATCAGGTTTGGGATTCCTGTCACCCACTCTTTTAACAAAGCCTTTCTCCAGAGGGGGTTTTTATGCACTGGGCGTCAGGTCTCAGCATCCTGAACTTCTGTGGAGGAAACAACAGGCTGAAACACCTTCACAAATATCCAAACAAAAGTGGGCCCACTGGATTTACTGTTCTTGCTATTTCTAAGATAAAAATGAAACACACTATTAATTTAAACAAACCTCATTCCAGGCTACGTCATCCATACAAAGGCATACAGAAGGGTACACGCCCCAGAAAAAAAAGTCAAAAAAATGAAAGAAAAACCTTTTCAGATCCTCTTTACGATTTCTAGCCTGTCTTTCCCTTCAGCTCTGACTCGAGTCTCACCTACGGCCACGCAATTGAACTGCATAAAACACAGACACCTCCAGGGACGCCACATTTGGACTCCATTTTCTCACTCAGATGCTATTAAAAAAAAAAAAACAAACCACCGTCCAAAAGTTCCCCATGCATGCCCCTCTCCAAGGTCCTTCCTTTGCCAGGAAGCAGCGTGCCCCAGGCGAGCAGCAGCCTGCAACCGCTCCTGGCGTCCCGCTGTCTCCCATCACCAGCTGGTTGTGATGCTGGTGGAAGGCTCAGCCTCAGGGGAAGGAGTCCTCTGTCTGTCTGCTGTGTGCGAGAAGCCACGCACCTTTCTGGGATGCGGTGTGGCTCCGCGCTCACAGGAGAACTCCTCTGAGATGATGAAGTTGGGGCGCTCTCAGCCCATTCAGCCCCAGTCTTTCCGCTGCCGGCACCAGGACGGACAGACATGGTACCTACACAGGGCGCAGGCAGAT